ATGGAATAATCACCCTGATACTCTTGAGAGCTTCAAATCATTTTCTATTATCAATGCCCAGGTAAACACCAGCAGATGCTATACAGTGAACAAAGTAACAAGAACACAGATTTGTCAGGTTTTATACACCAAACAGCTCGGAAAGGAAGATGTTAACACTTAACCCAGGTTCAAGTGGATCTTATCATGTAGATAAGACCATAAATATTATCACAGCATCTACTTATCAAATGGTATCTTTCAGGTACTATACATCATATACATCATCTCACCTAAGGCTCACAACCATCCTAAAGGGTCACTAAACCCATTTTACAGGTTAGAAGACTGAGGTTCAGTGATTTGTTCACTTATCATCCAGCCAAGATATGAACTGGTGGGACCAGCACTTTGAGATCTCTGATATCAGACCATATTCTCAACTACCATGTGAATATTATCCTCATTCCCCAGCCCAAACTGTGCCCTTTGCACTCAATCTTGGTTATTAGGGTTAACTCTTAATGCTTCTGTTTTAACCACAGCCATAGGTGGGGAGCCTAAGAAAATGATGGGGTTACAAGGGTCTGAGACAAGCCCAAGTGGAAGAAGGCCACTGTAATTCCACAGAGAACCAGGCAACACTCAAGCTTACAGGATTCCTTCCCTCCTTGGACTGTCACTCAGTTAATGATTTTGACAAATACTAAGAAGTCAGGACACCTGCCAGCGCTGAGAACTAAAAAATCCCACCCAAAAAAGTTGGCTGATCATGACTCCTTGAGGAAGACATAACAAAACTTACGAGTGATTTTTCTTATTCATTCACTTATTTATACTCCGTGATTTTTTAAAATGAATTGACAGAGCTTAGAATAAAAAGTACAGAATAAATAAAACAATCATTAATGATAACAGATAGCATTTACTAAGTATAGACTATGTACTAAGCACTCTTCTAAGAACTTGACATGTAATAATTGTTTTTAACCTTCCCAGCAACCTTTTGAGATAGGTGCTACTTGTATCATTCACATTTTACAAATGGAGAAAGATAACAGAAAAGTCTCCGCTGCTGGTTACAAAGCCAGTGAACAGAGCAGCCAGATTTAAATTCCAACAATCTGATTCCACCAGAGAAGTCAACCACTGTGCTACACTGCCTCCCAAAAATAAGTGTAAAAGGACAAGAGCCAAGTAATATTCCAGCGGTGTGGACAACCAAAGGCACAGACAAGTCAAGTGACTAAAACTGAAAATGAAATTTCATTTGGACTTCCTAGCAATCATCCTTAAAGCAATCCGGCAGGGACTAACTTCAGCAGGGTGAGCAACCATCCTGGTTTGCGTAGGACCGAGGGATCTCCCCAAACATGGCACTCTCTGTGGAGAAACAAGCACCCTGCTAAAAAGGTTTTGTAATATTTTTTTAGGTATCAGATAATTAAAAACATACAAAATCTCCATGGTATTTTCAAACCTATACTGGTTCCTTTAGCACCTCTTCCCACCATCATTAAAAATACTAAAAAAATTTCTCAACATTCTGCTTGGAAAAGATTATGGAGTCATAGGAAAATGAAAGCCTGGTAATTGTTGGCTTTCAATCATCACATCTATCAGTATTGCTCAAGAGTGTAAGTGGGAAGGGCACACAAATTCTGGGTTAAATCCTGCCCTGCCAAATCCAGCTATGCTTTAATTTTCTTTCCCAAGGTCATACAGGACTGCTTTTTTTAAAAAAAGAAATCTTGCCTGTGTCACAGGCACACACAGGCCAGTGGCCCTTAGAAAGCTTGGTGGCAGCCTCGTCAGAACTCACAGGAGAAACCAAGCCAAGACCAAGTAGTAAACCTCTTAAAAAGCCAGTTGAAATGACAACTCTGAAATCAGTGATGAGCTTGATGAACATGGGGACTGGGTCTTATGTACCCATGTTTATTTGTAAAACCTTGCAAATGAAAGTTGTCTTAATTGCAATCATAATCTTAGTATGTCAGAGGTGAAAAGATCCACAACTATTATTTGGTGCAACTGTTTAACAGATGAGTAAAATGAAAGGAAGGAAATTGCCCAAGGTGGGTCACAAAGCTGAGGTGAGACTAACTGAATTAAATGGGAAGTGAGCTATTCCCTAACTAAGGTGAGAAACCACAAGATAGGTTATATGATAAAAAACAAGGGATCATTAAGGAACCAAGGTTGTAACTCCACCCCAGGTGATCCATCACAGGTCTTCACAGACCTCAGTTCTAAGTGAAAAAGGAAAGCAAATGTTTTAAGAATCCCATGCAAAAAAAAAAAAAAAAAGCAACTATTTAAGTGAAAAAGACAAAATATCTTTAGGGAGAGGAGCATAGCTTTGCCATGACATGTTGGAAATTTCAAAAAAAAATGAAGAGATTAGACTAAATACTTCATGCACATTTTCCAGCCAATTTAAGTTTCTATTTAGACTAAGGGCAATCTTTTCTGTAAATAAACAGAAGTATAATATGATTGCATTAACCAACATACATGAACACCTAGTATGGGCCAGTCACTGTGCTAAAGGGACAAGCACAAAAACATAAAGCCAAGGAAAAGGGAAGCCAGCATCTTGACAATCCACATGCACCTCATAAAACACATGACATTAGGACAGGCCGGAAGAATTCCAGTGAAAATCTCCACATCTCAAACACAAGTTCTCATCTCAGTGCACAGTTAAATCAATTGATCCATCCATCAATCAGTATTTCTGAACACTTGTTACCTGTACAATCCCTGCCTTTAAGAAACGAATGATGTAATAGGGAGGGAGGGAGGGAGGCAGGGAGAGGGAGAGACTAAGAAAAAGGGACAGAGGGAAATACTAATAGAGGTGGTATGGTCTGAAGTAATGCTAAGGGACTAGGGGTGTCACGGCAGGGTGGGGGGAGGGGGTCACAGTCACTTTGGACTGGGAGAGACAGAAGAGGTTTCACAGATGTAGGGGCCCTGAACTGGCTCTGAGACATTTGATGAGCGGAGCATAAAAGTGAGTGTCTCAGCTGTGTGGAAGCAGGAACCTAGACGGAAAGGCCCAAGGTATGCTCAGATGATAGTGAGCCAACTTAGGTGGCTGGAACAAAGGGGCCAGATAGGAAGGTCTTAGTGGGTGATGAAGGGGAAAAGGCAAGCTGCAACCAGATCATGGCATAATCCTATACTTCGAGGTAGGAAGTCTGGCAAAGGGTTACACAGCTGTCTAGGCTGCCATTGCAAACCCTTTTTTTCAAGCCTTTTTTTTTTCAGAAAAGGCATAATTTGATCCTTTGAATTTTTCATGGCTAGATCTAAGCAGATCAGTTCTAAGGTTACATGATTTTTAAAATATCTTTGTACATTCATAGTTCACCAGTGGAATCTTATGGCCACAAACATGGAGACTAAGCTGAAATTCCCTATCATTTTCCAAGGAATCTGAGAGCAAAACATACTTTTTTCTTTTTTTTTGCTTGGAGGTTATAGAATCCATAAAGTTCTTTGAAATTCTTAAGTACAAAATGTTACAGTAGCAAAACACAACTAAAAGTATCCTAAATCCAGCTTACACAAATTCTATAACATATTTGAAGAAATAGAAATTATTAGAAATAAGAGTACAAGGAATATTTCAAGTGAACACGTAGTTATTGCTCAGAAAAGCCATTTTAACAAAGAGAAATCTTATTCACTTCAAAAACTTTTCTTTAAAATCATGTTAGTAATGCTTCATACTCTTGAATATATTCTGATTTAAAGAATGTATAGTAATAGTTTAGCACTAGCCATTTACAAGGGTTTCTTTCTCTTTTTTTTTTTCCAGAAATCTCATCATGGGTTAATGGAGTGGCTCTACAGAATATACTTGCAAAGTAACATCCTAGAATTTACACTAACATTCAGGCAGTCAAGAGAAAGATCTTTTTATTTGGTTAGTGTTTCTAAATTAGGGGGGTGTTTGTGTTTGTGTGTGTATCGGGGGGTGGGGAGCAGGCTATTTTTTTAAAAGCCCAAATAAAACAATTAGTGAAAAAAGAGCTTGTGACTTGGGCATGCCCCGAGTTCAGTTTTGCTCAGAAAGGCAAAAACACAGGCAACAGAACCCTAACCTCCTTTCTCTCTTGACTATACAATAGTTTTCAAAGAGGTTTAGTCCTACTATGAAAGACTCATGTTAGACATTGGAAGGGTCTAGTAGAGAATGAGCACCAGGCATTGAATAAACAAGGGAGATGGTGACCTTTTGCCCCTTCTGCTGAAAGCCGGGCACATCCTGAAGCAGAGGAACAGAAAAAAGCTGGTATGCATCCAGGTGCTGCAAAAATCCTGGCCTCTGGATTTTTTCTCCCACACTTTGTTCCTTAAACAGTTTAAACAGGCACCATGACTTCAATAGTATTAAGGAGTGAGAGAAAAGTACAATTCCTGGAACCAACTGTTCCACTGTCCCTCAATCCTTTGTTCCCTGTATTGTTTGAGTCCCGCAGTATGCAGCACACGTTCCACAAGCAACAGGCAAGACAATGGACTTAGCAGTGGCTGGACAATTAGCATCAATTAGGCCTATTTTCCAGCTGAATGTGAAGGGGTAGTGGGGGTGAGGTGTGGGGGAAAAATTACTTAAATTTTATAGAAATACTTCATCATGGGGGCAAGTGGTATAATGTAAAGCAAATTGAACTAGGGGTTCAAGAGACACTGCCAAAATTACCTGTGTGATATTAGGCAAATACCTTAACCTCTCTGTTATTATCTACAACATGTAGGCAACCTACTACCCACCCCTCAGAGGTTCACAAGATCTAATGTCCAAGTGTGGTTGAAAGTTCTCTGAAAATCTGAAATCTTACACAGATGTAGGCTATTCCTCCAAGCTCTGTTTGGAACCACATACAGTCATCTGTTTTCCAGACCATACACCTTTTATTCTCCCTGGCAGAAGCCGTTAGTGACTTTCTTAATTTATTTCTATTTTCTTGATTGCTAATTTTTTTAAGTTCATGAGTGATACTTACATATGTACATGTGGCGGCTGGAATCTGCTCTGGTTGATGTTGTAGTGGGTGAATGCCTGGGTGGGGTTTGAGCTGTACTCATCCACCGTTATGGTAACTTTGCCTTGAGAAGGAATCCCATGTGCCATCCTTCCTCCTTATAGGCATGAGCAATTCACAACTTTCCGGAGCAAAGGATGGGAGCAGGCATGGTGTGTTTCAGCCAACTTCTAAACCCAAGGATCTCCTCATCAATACCACCGTGTGTTTCTGTAAAAAGGAAAATTATAAAATGAGAACAAAGAAAAAGAGGGTGTTCTAAAAGATGTCCAATGTGACACCTGGACATGAAATTGGTTCAAGAAAAATGTTAATTTGTGCTGTTGCCTCATGGATACAATCTTTGCCAGCTCCACTCTGCATGTACTTCAGAGTGGACATTACACTCCGTATGACACTGCTAGCTGCTAACAAGTCATCTCACTGGCATTCAAACTCAGATTTCCTCTTTAATTATAATTATGGCACTTAACATGAATTACAGAAGGGGCATATCCATAGTTGCCATGGTGTCTAACTATAAACGGTTTGTGCTCAAATTGTAGAATCTTCCAAACCTTCCCTGCTAATTGGAATGTTTGGTTTGGACAAAGTTGGTGTTATATTAATAATGTGAAATCTCAGTACTTAACACAGACATATAACACAATGACAAATGTAAATTTAAAATGCTGTGCAAATAACAGATACTTGTGTCTAACTGTAACACATAATCTATGCACATATTACACACAATTTTTTCTTTCACAAGCAGCTCTCAATATATACACACACAGACACACACACACAAACACACACACACACACACACACACACACACACATCCACTCCACTCAAAAATATTATGGTAAGGCAAATCCTTTTTGCTAAATGTAATATAATTTCTTTAAACACTGCAGTCACTCAGGGGGAAAGTCAGACACATCCAGCCTTGGACCACCACTTTGGATGCGGTCATTACTACCCCTCTTCAGGCAGTAAAGGAGGGCAGCCATTACATCTACCACCTCATTCTTGCTTGGTGCTATATAATTCTCAGTATTCGTTTCATACTTTTAAAAAATTATGCTTTAGTTTGATTCTTTTTATAAATGTCAATATATTATTTGCTGCACTGGGTTCAGAAATGAGGACATTTATGTTTATGGCAGGTGTGCAAAGACTGAGGACAGCAAATCCCTGCATCAAAGCTATTGCAATCGATCAGTGTAGCAAAGAAAACGGGTAGTCCTTGGGTAACCCACCCTCTTACTTTAAGTGCTCCATATCAGAATGCATTTGCCATGCGCACCATTAAGCTCCAGGAATCCTAGCTGCTATCTCAAATAAAAATATTTAGAATAATAAGATTAGATTTAAATTTGGCACAAAACACCTTAAATATCAAGCAAAAGGCAGATGGCCTGCCATAGGCCATTTATTTTATTATTTTACAACCTGGGGCTTGTGTAGTCCTCCATATGCTAGCTGAGCTAAGAAATTCCACAGTGTTCTACTCAAATCATTGCCTTCTTCATATTAGCAAAGCCAGCTAAATAACACCCACCTTGCCCATGTTCCTAATGTACAACTGCACTGCCAAGACATGAATCTCTGGCACTTTGGCATTCTAAGCAAAGTGTCACTTTGGGTTCTCTTTCTTCTTCCTGAATCATGGGAGGTGTGAGTCCTTTAAACACCAGTTAATAACTAGGCCAGTAGGATTAACTAAATTAAAATCTGTCCCTGCTCCTCTGATGTTAAGATAGCTCTAAGAACTGCTTACAAATCATAATGCAGCAGTTTTCATACCAAGTTTGCAGCTGTTTCCTTAATTTCCCCCACAATTATATTTTACTGTTATTTTGCATAACAGTAAAACACAACACCTGCTTCAAATTGCAGTCCTGTTCTAAGTACTGTAATTCTCTTTTGAGACACAAAGTACCAAGACACTACTGAAGCGCAAAACTGCATAATTGCGCCACGCTGAAAAGTAAATACAAATGAAAACATCTTCCTGTTATAGAAATGACTGTCATTAAAAAGAATGTTAGCCATCAAAGCACAGAGGAAAAAAATGCACATTTTCAGACTGTGAGAACTTAGTGTTTGCATAAATTAGAGAGTGGTGTAAAAATTACATGGCAATTCTTATGTGCCTGCCATCAATATCTATTGTGTGAAATATAGAACATTAAGAAGCAAAGGAAACAAAATTCATGTCCAGACCACCATGACCTCTCAGTAACAATCTCTGCACTTGGTGCACAAAACAGTTCAAATATTTCTGGAGTAAACTCACTAATTAAACTAAGAAAAATGGCCTAGAGATAAAATATACAGAGCTATACATAAATATCTATGCAATGACTTACAGTAGTTACCATTAGACCCTTCCATTAGAAACTGAGAAGAGAGGGAACTTAGAAGGTGATCAATTCACAATCCTAAATGATCCACGGTATCCTAAAGTCAACGTAGCCTTGCCTTTTCTACCAAGTGAACATCTGTGCCTCTTTGCACCTTTGCTCCAGCAAGACAAATGTTCTATTTTCATCAGCACACACTGGCCTCTGTAACTCTGAAGGGCTAAATGGGTGGCTGACACCTCATTTGAACTCATCTTTACCATGTCCTCTTTCAAATATTTTATCGAAACAGTGCACCTGCAGAATCTTTCTTCTTTAATCTGGAGTCCTTTGAAGAAACTGTCAGACTGAGGCAGAGAGCTTCAAAACTTTCACAGAAATCTTTGCAGACAAGTCAAGAAAAGGCTTATTTTTTAAATGCTATGTTCACCTCCACTCACTAAATGTGCATTGGCTAAAAATATTAAACACCAACACACAGAAAGACTTTTTCTTATGGTCCTTTCCTCTAACCTGAGAAATTCAGAAAAAACTTGAAACAAGACAGAATGATACACTGTGTAAAACTATCAAGAAGCTGCACCACTTTGAGTCACATACTTAGGACTAAAACCTTCCAAATGATCAGATTTTGGAGCACCTTATCCTCATCACACTTACATTATTTTTTGCATGCAATATTTAAATAGATCAGTATTCTCTTTTTAAATTTTCATTTTATACTTCAACACACTTGCTCCACAAAACAAAGGACTCCAGTACAAAATACCATAAATCCTCAAGAAAAATCTAAAAGGGACTGACTGCCAAATATTCATGCTGGTGATGGTTTGATTTTCTCTTAAAAGAAAGAAATCATGTGAGCACATTTTGCATTTCCTAGACAGCAGTCACTTCTCCTCTTAAGCTGTGCAACTTGTAATGTTCTTTTTAGGAATCTAGTTGTAAAACCTTTTAAGGTCTGCTGGCAATGAAAGGACTAAAAGCTGAGGAATTAAATAACTGTCTCCACCTCCTAGACACCATAAGTCCAATTTACCAAAAGCAACAATTCACCAAAAAGTTTCAAAGCAACAGCCCATGACCTCTCCACCCGAGCAACGCATAACATAGCCTATGAGAAAGGAGCCTGTGATTTCCTCATTTAAACAAGGATGCTCATTTTATTCCCTAGCCCTAAGAAGATTGCCCGACCGCCTCGCCAAACTTGGGAACATCCCCTCTCCAACTCGCCAAATTCTGCTCTCTGCGCCCTCAGCCGCACAGACGCAGAGCTTTCTCAACTCAAGCTCCTACTCTTTCACGTCCACCTCCAGCTACTCATCCCCGTATCCCAGAGCGATACGCACAAGCGTTCCCGGCGGCTTTTCAGCTAGGTGTTTTTAGAGGGATGCACAAACTTCCACGTGTCTCTGGCCACAGAGCGCCCTCCCTCCCGCCGCACTTACACCTGAACTTGTCTCCAGCACTGCGGACACCCGGCTGGCACATTCTTTCGGAGAGGAAGAGCAGGACTTTGCTCCCGCGCCTCTGGCAACGAGTAGAGTCTATATATGGTGGGGCGGGGGGCGCGGAATTCTCTACTTTGGATTGGTTTGTTTGTTTTAAATCTAGGGTGGGCAGTTAGGGGCGGGGGGCTTCAGCAAATACACACACACACACACTCTCTCCCTCTCTCTTGCCCTGCCCTCCGCGGCTCGCGGCCGCTGGTCCAGACTACAGCTCCCTCTTCCTTTCTGGAGCACCAGCTCGCCTTCCTCGCTCAGTCCCGCGTTGCCACCGCCGTCACCTCCTCTGCGGCGGCCGCTGCTGGCACTGCTGGCGCTCGCGGCCCCGGGCTACGCTGGGCGCCTTGCTTTCTCTCCCTCTCCCCCAGCCCCGGCTGATTGATGACCACCGACGGCCAATGGGTCTGACACAGTGCCATTGCTGGAGCATCGCAGCCCCACGCCCCCGACGTCAGCCTCCAGGGCGCGTTGGCATCCCCAAACCCTCTGAGCGGAGCCCGCGCCCGGAGCCGCCACCGCCGCCTCCCTGAAGCTGCCGGGCTGCTTCCCTGGAGCGGCGGAGAAAGGAAGGGGGGTTGGGGGGGGGAGAGCCTGCGAGCGTTGGATGGGGGTGTGGAAGCCACATATTCCTCCCCCCAACCTCCACTTTGGAAATCTTTTCTTTCACTTAAAGTTTTGTTTTTTTACACTCTGACCTGTTTGTTTGCTTGCAGCATCTCAAATCAATTACATTTTTCATGACCCGCATTTGCACTTAATTTGGGGTGTTGGAGGAAAGAGATAAGTACCTGTGTGGTAAATCTACCCTCCGGGGGCATCCTTTATTTTATTGCTGGTGGATTCTAACCCCCCTCCCTAGTCTCCAGAAAAATGCCCTCTTCACCTCGTAGGCCGCAAAACCCCGGAATTCAAAAGCTTTACAAAGATAACCCTGTTACATGTAAATAGCAAAGAAACTCCTGCCTCTCTCGGGAAGAAATCTGGAGGCAACGGTTACTTTTTGTCGCCGCCCGTCCCCGGCCGGCCGCCCGGTGCCTGTCGCTGGCTCGCTCCGCGGACTGCGATAGTGAAGACGGGAGGCGGCGGGGACAGCGAGGCTCGGGCGCGGGGACAGGGTGAGAAAAAGCCCCACGCGAGAGCGGCGCGCGCGGGCGGCCCCGGGGGTGGCCGCAGAGCGCAGCCGGAGCACAAAGCTGCGCGACGCCTTGCCGGTCACCGCACCTCGCTCGGGTCGCCGCGGGTGTCCGGGGCTCGGGCCAACACAATGCACCCGGGCCTAGGCCGGGGCGGCTCGAACACATAACCCCGGGACTTTCTAGTAAACAGCTCGCCGTGTCCTCATCCCCACCCCCATCCTCGCAGCCAGGCTTTCGCCGCTGCCCCTCGTGGACACCCCTCTCCCCTCTAAGAAATCCCGGCGGAGAAGGGGGCGGGGAGGTGAGGACCCTGAAGGTCGGGGGCCGAGGACGGGGGAGGGCGGGGAGAGGAGCAGAGGGGCAAGATGGGGAGTGGAAGGGAGACAGCTCCTAAAAGAGAAAAAGAGAATTCGCTTTCGCTCGGGGACTGAAAATAAGCCCTCTTTGGGTTCAGAATTGCCCGGGAAGGGCCCGCTCCTGCCGAATGTCAGGGACACGGGGGCAGCCGCGGTCCGCAGCCTCCGATCCCCCGCACGCGCCTCTGACAAGGAACCTCTCACCCGGGCTCCGCTTTGTGTGTGCATTTTTTTTTCCCTTCCTCTCGCGCGCAGCACCGGGCGCCGGGCCGCCTCCTCCCCCTCCCCCGCCCTCCGCCTCCTTTCCCGGGGCAGATTACCTTTCCCGGGCTGCGCTCTGGGTCCCGGGGATGCCTTCAGCGCCGGGCGAGCAGGCGATCCATCGCCGAGCGGCCGGAGCCTGCGGGCGGCGCGCGGGGGCGACGAGGGGCGCGGGCGGGCCAGAACCTTCGACCCCGGAGGTCCCGCCGCGGGCTGGGGCCGGGGGCCGGGGCCGCGGCGCCAGAGGAAGGCGGGTGGGGGGAGAAGGACGCGAGCAGCCTCGATACGGGGAGAGAGCGAACGAGGGGGCGAGGAGAGGGAGCGAGGGCGCGGCGAGCCGGAGGGAGGCGAGCGGTGCAGTGACAGGGACTGCCACTGGGGTCAAAGGAGCACAGCTCCAGGAAGCAGGGCGGCCGAGGCGCAGCTCCGTGCGCGCTCCCCGGCGGGACCCCGCGCCCCCGCGTGCCCCTCCTGCAGCTTCAGCAGGCTCGAACCCCCACCGGCGCCCCAAAGCCCCGGGGTTGCAAGGGGAGGAGGCAGGGGGCTGAGGGCGAGGCCGGCAGCCTGCTGGTGCTCCTGGGTCAAGCAGGCAGCAGGAAGCCGAGCTGCAAGTTCATCATCATGAGGGTGTTCAGCATAAAAATGATAGGGGACCTAGGAGGGGGATGCTAGAGAGCCCCCGAGAAAATAAAGGGAGTTTTCCCTCTAAATGGGCGTCATCTCCAAAGAGTACTCCCAGGTCCCCCACCCACAGACCTGCCTAGTACTGTCTGCTGTCCTGGCACAGTTCCAGGACGCAGAGCTCTCGCAGGGAGCTGGGGGAACCGCTCAGGCTGAGTTCAGACCTAAGGAGGAGACCCTGCGTCCCCTCCCATCTGCTGAGCTTAGGCTTTCCTTGGGGAGAGCTGTGTTCCCTTTCTCAAGCCTTTCAACTCTCCAGACACACACACACACACACACACACACACACACACACCTTTTCTTTCTGCGATGTTGAGAAAGAAAAGGCCACCCGGCTGATAATTTTTTCACCTCCATGAATTAAGGCAGGTTCAGTATAGGGAGGTGAGGCGAGGCAAAGAAGCTAATTGTTTTCATTTTTGTCTTTGGGGCTGATGTTACCCAAAACATAGGCACTTCAAAAACATCTTAAAAATGAGTTAGTCCACTTTTTCTGTGTTACTTTGGATAATGAAGAAGAGGTTTTCAGAATTGTATGCAAACAACATAAGGAAAAGAAAAGTCGCTGAAATGCTAGAATACAGAAGACAAGGAAGAGAAGGCTTTTAGAAAACTTGGTTGGCAGAGCTGTCTGTAAAAGAGGAGGTGGCCATGTGATGTTATGCCATTGTCAGAGCTCAAAGATTTGGACAGCAACCAGAACTAATTCCTTTCCAGGAGTCAGGCTCAAAAATCTAGGCATTCTCCAAAGGGAAATCCAATGGATATGTGTGAGAGAGAGAAGGGTGCTAAGTACACTGTGTGACAACCGGCTAGACATCCTGGCTGAAATTATATCCCCTAAAAACAAAAGGAGCCATTTCAACCTGGTCTGTGGCCTCTGTGCTGACACTAATTGGTTTCCAGGGTCTGGAGAGGAAGAAAGAGAGGCTGGTAGGAGCCCCAATAAACAAAGATCAAATGGAATTCACTTGAAAATATTTCCCCGTTACAAGTAGCTTTCCTGGCACTTGAATTTTAAGTCACCTATGTCTTATGCCTGAACTGAAATGAAGGGGAAAATGGTCTTGTTAATATATTTATTTTGTTGCGCAGTATGCCCCGAGTGCCGGTACTTGTCAAATATGCTGGGATGAAGGGGACAGTGATTCTCCTTGCCCAGTGCAAATCACAGCAAGTGACACTGACATTAAAGAATGCCAACGATGGAGTGGGGGGCACCTTTAAATTTTGCTTTTGTTTTCCAGCCCAGCAGTGAACACTGACTGGAATCATGTTTTTGAAGAAACGCTCAGTTCTGTTGTCCTTACTCTTTGAGTTAGCAGTACGCACCTCTTATCTACATGGCTTCAGTTTTTAGGCCGATTTGGGCTGATTTAATAAGTAAAACAAAAAAAATCCAGCCAAATAATTTCTGTGGTTTTCTTCTCTTTTTTTTTAAATAATTGGTCATCAATAAAACAACCAAATTAGTTTGCATATGATCATGAATCTAAGCAGTGCACACAGATAATAAATAAAACATTCTACTTTTGCAGCACATTTTACAGGATATTTAATGGCATAAACAATCAAGTGAGTGACCCTTTACTAAGTTGATGAAATAACTTTGTATTATTTTACTGAGTGGGAAAAAATTGAGGCAAAAAAGAAAAAAAGCTTAAAGTTGTAGTATAGGAAGAAGTCAACCTCTACTGTGTCCCTGCTTGATCAGTTATCCACTGAGAGAAATACTAACCAAACTGTATTTGAGTTATGAATTTTTATTTCCATTAGGCTACGGAAGTAAAAAAGCTGAAGAAATGCAAGTAAATTTAAATAATAAATCAGGAACAAAAGGAACTCACTTTTGAAATAATACTCATTGCATGGATTTGAACATACTGCATTTTGTTAAATCGTATTTCCACCAATGTAACTACCTACACTAAAAGCTTGTTTCAAAGTTATTGGATGTGAACCATGTCTGTCCCTGACATCAGCTTTGAAACATGGAGCCTCATGATACCAAATTTGAAGTACTATAGACTGGAACTTTGTTTTTTTAAGATAAGTGAGCCTATAAGCTCCATTTGTGTTGTTGTTAAATTCAATTTTTATTGTTTATAATGGGAAGCAAAGGATAAAAATCAAATGTCAAGTTTATGATTGCCTCTATGCAAATACAACAATTTTTTAATGGGATGTAAATCTGGAGCCTTTCTCCAGTGATTTCATCGAAGGAACTGGCATATATGCTTCCTGATAGCCTGCTGTGATATCTTTTAAAATATCTTTTCAGAATGCATTTAGGGAGGAAAATGAAAGACAGGAGTGTGGGAGAACTTTAGGTGGAAGCTTGGAAACTGAATGCTACTTCCCTTGAAAATGTAATACTTTATTTTAAGTTGTTTTCCATTCTCCCTATGAGAACACGTTTTCTAATACTTGGTTCAATCTTGTGGTTCTTCTCTAGAAAAATTTTCATTGAAACAATTGTATTTCATTGAGTAATATCAAAAATCTGATCCAAAAAACACCTTCATTTTATTCCAAGTCCTGACAGCTTTTGTATTTTTTGACTTGTTCCAAATGTTTTCATTGTAACCTCCCCAAGTTTAAGAACTATACCCCATGTTCCTTGTGTCCTTAAGTGCTATACATATGGTACAAACTTGGAGATGTTTGTTAAATGACTATATGGCTCAATAAGTGAAAAAGTGAGTGAGAGAGTGAAGAGTGAGTGAGGGATCTACACAATGAAGGAAAATCCATACCAGATATGGAGTGACAGGAGTGATGACAGGGGACCAGTGTCAAGGGTAAGAGCCAAGGACTTCCTATGCAGTAGTCCAAATTGTACATTTAAAGAAGTTTGCTAATGTCTTTGGAAACATGCAAAAACATGTAAGACTCTTTCAGAAATTGACTTTCTCATAGAGAAACTGAAGATTGTTACATATCATGTCCATTTAAAGACAGCCTTCTTTTTAACTACAGTAAGATGCAAAAACAAAGGAAAAGAATCATGAGCAAAATTTGTGTCTTAAACTTTATAGAGATAATATACCAAGATTAAGTCTCAAAAGAAGCTTATTGTGATTAATCTGATTCTTTGATGGATCCTTTTAAGTCCTCAAAGTAAATATATAAACAATTTTTTTGTCCTTTGTATTTAAAATATCCTTTTGGTTAGCCAGTAAAATTGTTTATGGTCAACAAAGGTTCAGGAAACACTAGAACTGATGAAACTGTATTTCATAAAATAAGTTTATAGATATTATCTTAGAAAAGCTAAATTTGATCCAGCTTTGCCAGCAGCTTAAATAATAAACATGGACATCTTAAAATTTTGTAACACACTCACTAATTCTTACCATACTTAGTAGCCAATATCTAGGATGTATCAACAAATCAGAAAAGTATGATTTATGCAGTAATAATTCTGATAATTAATTTGAAAAATTTGAACAAGAGACTGAGCATGTGTTAGTGCATTTTCCATCTTAATAGACTTGTATGATCTCTGTTATCAGTTAAAGTCTGCGGAGTCTTTCCCATGTCATGGTCCCAATTCTGGAAAAATGGTGGAATTTGGTGGTACTTGGGATATGCTTTTCAGAATTGGAAGTGCATTCTCATTGAAGTAAAAGCCAAAGTAATCTCTTTTGAAAGATGGGCAGTGTGGAAAACCCACAATAACCTGATTAAAGAAAATGTATGTGGGGATTTTCGAGTTTAAAAATTCAATTTGGCAAGCTAATATAAGATATATCAATATTTTGAGTAAGCAATATATAATATAATTTTCCTTCTCAGCAAAAATAAATGAATGAGCACATTTTTAAAAAACTGAGTTTGAAAGACCAGCAGAATTTAAAACCCATTTCTCTCTGTGTTATTAATGTAATGGTTTGATTATGCAACAAATATTTTTTAATCTCTGCTCTTTGCTAGACAGTTGATGACCTAATGATGCAAAAAAGCAGATTTTTCCCCCACATTAGGGAGTATGCAATCTCATGGGCCTGGGGACAGACTGACTTTAATCACACAAATAAATAAAAATTATATCCATGAAAAGGAGGGGCACCTACTGCAAAGAAAACATAACAACAATGGGGAATTTTTCTCCTCTGAGGTTGAGTGAAGACTTCCCTGATGGAGGAAAGGAATACCAGGATGTCACATGATAAGAGCAGCAGTGTGGCAAGGGGCAGAGTGAGGAACTGCATGGTGCCGGGGAGATGGGTCTAGATCTGGATCTGCAGGCAGGGCCCAGAACTGCAGGGCCAAGTCAAGGACATTCTAAAAGTCACAGCTAAGGCCCTATTCAAGATGTTGGACTTTATCCTGAGGGCAACTGGAAACTGCTTAAGGATCTTAAGTAGAAAGGCTAACATGATTAGATTTGTATTTTGAAAAGGTCACTCTTCCTCCAGCGTGGGAAACGGATTTTTAGGGGGGACTAGAATGAACACTGGGAGGCCATTTGGGAACTACTGCAGATATTGGGTTGGAGATGATGGTAGCCTTCAGCAGGACGGTTTAGAGGAAATGAGACATGGAGATATACAAGTGGATTCAAGAGATCTGTATAAATCTTATATAATCAAGACAAAGATTGCCAGAATTTTGAAATCCTGGCTGAAGTCATGGTATTACCCAGCCAGAGAGGCTAAGAGCCCTACTTACCTAACTGCTTCCA